AGTGTGTAAGGTTAACAAGAAAATCACCAGCTAAGCGACCCCGACGGCAACCGTGCTGGTGGTCACTAATCAGCTGATGTCCTCAAGATACCGCATGAGCTGGCAGTTAATGATGATCTCTATTATTTTTTAGAACAAGGAGGTAATGACGATAGGCTTTTTTTTGTTGGACGGATCAGAGCGGTTATCTTTTTGCAGGTCTTTTAGGTGCACGAAAGCTGTCTTCCACGAATTTAAAAAGACGCATTAAACTGGAGCATACGTTTTCAATATATTTGAGGGTATTCCGTCAGGTCCACTCAACTTGTAAAGAGAGGGAGAGGAGTGTTTTGCGTTTGACCTATGTGAATCGCACATCAGACATAGAGCACTCCCACCGCGGAGTGGTCGCGGCGTGTTACTTCCATCATAGAGGGTTGAGTTGGACGCAAAAAAATTTTTACGTGGTAGAACCACGCTGCAGCTATATTATAAATGTAGTACGCATGAGTCTGGTCGACCGGAGCAGGATCACGCTCTCTCTGAACACCAGCGTAAAATAGCAGCTTAATACTGATGTGTTTCGTATGGTGAGTGTAGAGAACCGGAGACCTTTTTTACTAGAATCGAGGTACACCATCTTAGTCCTCAGAGGTGACAAACCATTTGTATTTTATCCTTAATTGAGATAAATGTGGATGTCTATGGGCCACAGCATCCATTTATTATCACGTGGACTGTGTGCTCGTTTGTCACCCAATGCTATAAAATAAAATAAAAAGGGAACCTAAAAGTTCGTTTTATTCTTTTTCGGCGTGGGCTAGTGAGTCGTCCTCCATGTACAGAGATGGGGGAGATGGGTGGCAGAAATAGAAGAGACGAGAAGAAGCCTTGGCGAGAGACTAGAATGCACGGGTTCCCGAAGGAAGGCGAACTAGCTTCTCGCCAATTCCGCCGATATAATCTGACCTTGACTTGCTCTGGCAATGACTCTTTTGAAGAACCTGAAAGCAGAATTATACTTCTTTTCAAGAGCGCTGGTGTTCACATCCCGGGATGCTGATGCATCAGTCTAGACCCAGTAGCACTCCTACTTGAAGCGTGATGTTATTTTACAGGAGCGATTGAACTACGACTGGGATTTGCTTCCGATGAAACATTCTTGCACCACAGAAAATGTATAAAAAATTTCCATATCCCCAAGTTTCACATCAGTGACAGAATCAACAACAATGTTTGAGATCGGCCAGTGAGAAGCAAACCTGCCGCTAAGGGTATACGATCAAAGAACGATCGCAAGCTACCCCAATTGGCCGGATTATAGTACTAAATACGGCAGCAGCCTGCAGAACGCAACCGCGATGTTATCGTGGTAGTAGCAACACACTCCGAGTCAGACAATGTTCCGAGCAGCCAAGAAAAGCGTCGACGGAGACCTGATATACGTCCGGAAGAGATCAGTAGAAGGTCTAACAGGGAAGGTGCATGATCTTTCACATCTGGAATCCGAGTAGGAGAAGTAACCAATTCTGTCAAACAATATGCCAAGGCAAAGTTATAAACAGATCTCTCCGCATGATTGGTTAAACGTGAACCGACCCATTCACCGTGGTGGGCGCTAAAATCACCAAGAATCACAATCACTGCAGATGGGATGATCGTCGCTGTCTCTGCGTAGCTAAATGATTGACAGATCCGAGATTCATGACTGCCGAGGCGTCTAGAACAGATGTCTTCTCTAACTAACTCCAGCCCAAGGCACAAAGGAGTGTTTCAGTTTATATACGGGGTAGGAAAGATACGAAGTATCGGCCGGAGAGGACACCTGCGTCTTGTTCAGAAAGACCAAGGCCAACTTCGCCGTGTCCAGGCGGTAGTTGAGGGTGTTGAGGTTCGAGTGAACTCTTGATGTTGCAGAAATTCACGGATAGCGTGGTAGGAGCTGCCTTGGTCTTGTTGCTCAGCTTACCCCGAGCAATTTTTTTCTTGAGCGGAATTTTGCTCCCCCCCCTCCTCAGAATATGCGGGGCAGCTGGAGCACCCACGCTCAGTAGGGGAGTAACTTGGTTGTAGATGCTCGACAAGGGATTCTTCAATACCAGGGGTGCTGCTACCCGCCTTGGATAATATAAGTGCAGTAGCAAAAGTTGTCGCGTGGCACTGTTAATATTTTAATATTTTATATTATAATTTTACATAAATTTGAATTTGATAAAATTTTCGATTTCGTTTAACATAAATTATTCCACATTTTCAATGAAATAGGTCAGTCAAAAGTACTATTACCCGTATTCCTTGTTCAGCAATCAAAACTAAACAGACGCTTTGAATAAAATCCGTAGTTTGTTCAAGAATCTCTCGACTTTCTTTTGAATGTAAATTCAACATTGTTAAGAATTCATAAAGTTTTACCGTTTGAGAGGCATTATACGCTCGTAATCGAGAGCTTATTTTCTTGTTTTGAGTTATTAAGGAATTTATATTTTGATTCAACTCTTAAAGTAAAAGCCGAAATTAATTTAAGATTTAGCTTTTTGCCCATTTTGTTTAACGATCTTTGATACATGTTACAGCAATGCTGCAACTATATCATAGTTGTGTGTAGTACGAATGAGTCGGCTCGACCGGGGAAGGACCGATCATGGCTCTCACAGAATACCAACATAAAATAGCAGCTCAGTACAAAAGTGTTTCGTATGGTGAGTGATAGAGAACTGAAGAACATCTTAGCCCTCGGGGTTGAAAATGCATCTGCATTTCGATTCTTAATCGAGGAGAGATGGTAGACTATGTGCTTGTTTGTCACCCCTATTTTATAAAACAAAATCACTAAATAGATTTTTGGATAATAAGTATGTGTAACTCGTGTATTCTTAACAAATTTGTTAAAATTTTATTTTTAAAAGTAAAGTTTTCTATATTTTTAAGTATTAATCACTATACGTACCTAAAAGCAGTTTATTGATAGTCTTGGTTTAAAAGCAGTCCCTTAGTAGTGGCGGCGCAGCGTTTGCGAAATTTGACATTTGCTGTATACTCGTATTTCCATAGTTTTATTTCATTTAGTATTTTAGTTCGCATATATTCCACGGGATTTCTTCATTGAAATAAACTCTTCTTTAAACCTGAATCAATTATAAGCTACTTTTTGTAATAAGATGGATTATATCGTTATGACTCCCACTGATTTTCCTTTGGTGACAGCGTTATAGGATCCATCAATACATTTGGTCCCGTGGATTTCGTAAGGGGCGACTACTGCACGTTACACCAGAAAAACATACAGCTTTTGATAGATGGCAATAGAATAGAATAGAATTACACGTAATTATTATTGAATGTCATTTTTTACTTTACCACTGGTTTGAAAAATACCTCTGTCCTGGGAAGAACCAGCAAGAAACCCAGCGGGACCTTTTTAAAATAAATTTTACAATATATGAATGGTCACAAAATATTTACAAAATTTATTTTTGAAACAACTTGGATGCGACCACCTCATTCCCAGAGGGTTATTATCAACCATGAATTTATATTATAATAACCCTTTTTATAGAGTTTTTATATAGAGAGAAACTCGGCGGGACTTTTTTTTAAATAAATTTTACAATGTATGATTGGCACAAAATATTTCCAAAACTTATTTTAAAAACAGCTTGGATGCGACCACCTCATTCGCAGAGGTTATTATCAACCATGTATTTATATTATAATAACCCTTTTTATAATCTTTTTTTAAGTTAAATATTTAAACTTGGTATGTATAATATGTAATAAAAAACGACTCCGTAAAATATCCGGATCAAAGTAGCGTCAAAAGAGCGAAACGCTACGATGCAATAAATAATATGAATGAATATGAATACTAGGGTTTGGGTCCCGGGACGTCTCGTATCTCGAAGTCCAGGGACTTTTCGTAATTTTAGTTGTCTTGAGTCCCGGGACTTTCGAGTCGAGACTCGAGACGAGACATAGATAGTGAAAATTGTTGTGTTATGATTTTTATTTTCAAACAATTGAAGGAGCCTAGCACCATTTGTTAGTTATATTAAAAAGGAGTTTCAGTTGTTTGAAGCAACGGGAAATCGTAAAGAAAGTTTACAAATACCGTATAAAGCCTTAAACACAATTAAACCGACATCTGTTGAAAACGAGAGAGTGTGTTCTCCTTGTCCGGTGGCATTATTAAAAAATCAGAAACAAATTGTCGGACAAATCTGTTGACACTCTGATTTTATTAAAAGCCAAGTAAATTTTATTAAATCAGCAAAGAAGTCTAATTAATCTGTTAGTGTATTTTTTGAAAGTCTGATTTATAAGTCTGTTTTATTAATTTTATTTAAACTATTTAATTATGAAACAAATCTGTGATTATGAGAATTAACAATGTTGTGATTATGACGAATTAAGTCTAGAATAACTAGATAATGGTAAAGTTATTAAGAATAAGTATGATTTTTAACTAAATTTGTTTTATAACTATAAGAATTAACTGATTAAAAGTGAATCTGTGTCTGATAGATAGAGATGAACAAAGCAATTATTAAGACTGAAATTATCGTTAAAGTTATATAAGATTTAATTTTCTGTTCAATAAATGTTAATTTTTACATAAAAATGCCTTTTTTAATACGTTTCACCAGAAATTAACTCAGTAAAAATTCTTCAAAAAAGGCAACCCTCTTAAATAAAACTTATTTTTCTTAAAAGTTGAAGTCCTGTCTCGTGTCACGAGACTTGGATATTGTCAGTAATTCCCAAACCCTAATGAATACACACTGCGTTCTCAATCCGCCGGCCAAGCGTGACATTAATGTAAATTCTGCCTACGACATTAGAGCACAGAATCAATAATAAGAGGCCCATGCCCAGCAGTGGAATTTTATAGGCTGATAACGAACGTGGAGAAGAAGAAGATTTCCCTTTACTAGAATTGGCATTCTTTAAGTACGACTGTGCTTCTAGCTACTCCATCGGAAACAAGAAAAACAAATATAATATAACAATTATTTTTACTTTAGGTAGTGTAACATCCGTGGCTTCTGTGGGTCGAGGCTACAATCGGGATCGCTGCGTAACTCTTCTTGTGGTGGACGACCAGAACACCGACTGGTCTAAATATTTCAGGGGCCGACGGCTACCTGGCGAGTGGGACATTCGCGTCGAACAAGCCGAGTTCAAGGTTCGATGAGCTTTTGGAAATGTTTTTATTTTAACTTATTATCTTATCGATATCTATAAAATTTTGAAAACGTAAGTACTTGAATGGCCTACAAATAGTCGTCCCGGGAATGGATGTTTGCCCTTGTGAAATTTATGTATATAAACTGCCCCCCCGGTACAGGAGAAAATCATAGTATAGAGGTAACGATTATAAAAAAAGTTTTTTGTACAAAATGCTGCACAATCACTTATACAAAGTGAGAAAATAAATAGTAAATAGATTGATAAATAGTACTTCATCAGGTAAACTTTTCATATTGATGGTGGTTTACTAGACACTAAGACTCTTTTTATTCCTAGGATTCCGTCTGAGTATCTCCCCCCCCCCTCATTGCCTCTTGCTGCTGCCAGGAATAAGTGCGTGCACCGCTATGTTCCGGTCTAAAGTATATAAGAGCTAGTATAATCCACGCTGAGAGGCTTTCCATCATAATCCTCAGTGGTGACAAAGTATCCGCGGCCTTTTTTGTGTAAAGTCGGTAGCGAGTGTCCATGGGCTATATCTAGTATCCGCTTACCATAACTGGACTATTGATCTGTTAGTTCGCTTGTATTAAATTTTTTTATAAAAGAAAATATACGGGGTATAGAAATAACACTTAAAATTTTTTATATTTTTCACGTGTCTTGAATTCACTGAATTCGTTTATGCTATATATATTACACAAGATTTTTTATCATAACCCTTCGTCTGTGGAATATAAGTAAACCAGCAACATATTGACATACGAAAATAGCAAAATTTTGGTTTAGTTAGGGAATACTAGGTTAAAACCTTTATTTCTGATATAGAGTTGCTGCCCACACAAAATAAATATACATTGTTTACATTTATTATAGAAATATTGCAATTTTTTTTCAAAAAAACTGTAAAAATAGCTACAATATCATTATAAAATCATTTTGCCATTTTGCCATCTAATATCATCTTACCGTATACACAGTGAAACTAAATATTCTTATCAAGGTCTCAAAATCAGGTCCTCATTGTAACTAAATTACATGAACCAAAAACTATTTTTGTATTGGTTTCTTTATGTACTAATTGTATTTAATAGAATATATTTGATAAAACATACTTACAAAAGAAACCTTAGTAATGCTGTAAAGCAGCTGAAGGCTACATAATAAATGGTATATATATTTTCACGTGGAAGATAGCATTTTATACAGAATTAGGGTGACAAACGAGAACATAGTTCATTTGATGGTAAGTGGATGCTGTGGCCTATAGACAATCAATCTGAACAAGTTATCTCGTGGTATTACACACAAACAAAAAAAGTTATGATTTTTCAAAAACCTATTAGAGATCATATCTCAGCTACAGTGACATGCATGCCCCAAAAATCCTGTCGGTCCATACGCCACACAACTTATATTTCTTTTGATTAATAAATAACATTTCTAAAAGTGGCCCAGGTTTTTTTTAAATAAAAAGTAGGAGTCAATGAATGGCGAAATTTTTTTATAGGATAAGGGTGAGAAGCGAGCATACAGTCCACCTTATGGTAAGGGTTGTTGTGGCCCATAGACATCTACATCTATTGTCGATTACGAATCAAAATGCAGATGCGTTGTCACCCCTGAGAACTAAAATGGAATGCCTCGTTTCCAGTAAAAAGGGTCTCCAGTTTCTACACTCACAATACGAAACACAGCAGCGTTAAGCTAATATTTCACGCTGGTATTCTGTTAGAGCGTGGTCCTTCCCTGGTCGTGCCCATTCGTGCTAAAAATATACTACTAATATAACTACAGCATTTCTTTATTACGTACAAATATACTTACATTCTTCTATCTGTTTTACTCGTTTAGCGTAAGTAGCTAAAGTGAAAAATTATACGCTGTTCATCTAAAACCAGAAAGAAGGAAATTACTATTACTTTATGGGAAGTAGATATTATCCCAATTGTCTACATCGTCATGTAATCAAAGATATGTTATTTAAGTTTTATCATACAAAGTGAGTATAATTTCTGCAGGAGTTATCAGTAACAGCAAACTCCGATGGTTCTAATGTGTCCATGGCTGTATATCGAAGTGGAACCAAAGTGACGCGATGTTTCAAGTGAGTATACTTATTCATATAATTTTTAACAACTTTATTATTTACCTGTTCTTATCAAAATTGCATGCCTTAAGCGCAAAGCGCGTAGTTACGTGCGCTGCTATCGCCTAAAAATCAAGAATAGGACATTTTGTCGCATGAAATCGTATCTAACAATCATATTGAACATATAAATGATATAAAAAGCACATTGTAAGAAGGATAAATGATTAATTGCTATTTGTACATAAAAAAGTGGTTTTAGTGACCTATAGCGTAGATTTATCAAGTCCGCATGGAAGGGTGAATACGATAACTTTTGAAAATATTAATTGTTCAACTCAATCTATTTTTCAATCTCTCTAAAAATTGACGTATAACATGTGCACATTTGCATTTACCAAAAGTTATTTTATTTATTCTTTGAAAACTACGTCTGAAATTTAAATTTAGTCAATTTACTACTTATTTATAAGTTAATTTAAAAAAGGAGGGAAGCATAGGTTTTTTAATGTCGATTCACCTATTTCTCTGAAACGACAAAAACGATTAAAATTATTTTAAAAGGTTTACTAAAGAAGTAGATTCAAACTTTTAAAAAAAATGTTCACTCCTAAAGGTAACAAAATACGGAATAAGGCACGCAGAAATCAAAAAAGTGATACAGTTGAGAGATGAAGGTATTAGAGGAGCATACTTTGTAACCATCCATAGGAGAGCGTATGTTCAGCAGTAAACTTGCTGAAGCTGATATGACTATGATGGTGGTGATAAAACAATTTCGTGCAATTTTAGCGTAAGACAATTCTACATTTCGTAGTTAAACTTACCCTAATGGGTAATTAGTGCTTATAAAGCTATGCAATGAAAGCATAGAATTTATTTAGTAACTACCTCTGGAATCCACTCGCAGAATTTGTAGCTGTCCCATTTTATAATCAGTATAAGTAGGTGTAAACGCGAAGTGCTTAGTCGGTGTCGTAAAGCGGTTTTGTGGTAGATTTTACATTTTAACTCGACTGCAGCCAGTCGTAGATTTGATTTTAATGTTTTTTTCTTTGTTTCCAAGTTTTTTTTATCTATATTCAATAATGAATTAATTTAATACATAACTTCCTCTAAAATTTGGATTGACACATGCTTATTTCACATTTGTTGTAGATTTTACATTTTAACTCGTCATTCACATTAAAAACAAATAAAAAAGAAGAATAAAATAAAAAAGATATTTTATTATAATTTTTGATGAAATGCAGATAAAAAACTCCTATGACCTTTTACGATAGAGTTAATATTTTCGGAGTTATGATTTTTTAAAGATTTATTAATCCTGAATTTGAATACTTTTGATTCATTAAATAAAAAGAATGAAAATAAAAGATGTATTTTTAATATTCTTTATACAATAGTTAATAATATCCTTAAGCTAGAATAAAAAAAAACATTTTTTATACATTTCTTCAAATACATATTTTAAAGTCATAGGTTATAAGCTTATAAGTCAACCTTTTTATTTCCATTTTATCAAAGAATATAAAAAATGTCTTTTATAATTTGTTCTTTTTCTTTATGTTTTTTAATGAGTCAAAATTATTCAAATTCAGGATATTTCAAACCTCTGAAAATTAATAACCCTGAAAATATTAACTTACTCGTAAAAAACTATTGGACTTTTTTTATTCGTATATCATCAAAGAATATAAAAAGCGTTATGAGGCGTGCACTTTTGGATTTTCCAAACTTTCGTTTTTTTAATAATTCACTAAGCAGATAACTCACTCTTTGTAAATAGGCCAGATTTCGTGCTTGTGCGACAAAACGTAAGGGATGCCGGAGCCGACCACCGCCCTCTTCTGTTGGGATTGAAATTTGGCGGGGTGCCATCCATCAATAGTCTCAACTCAATTTACCACTTCCAGGTACAAATTTAATAATGTTTATGTATCAAATCAAATCTTACCTAGCTCAATATAATTAGTATCCTATTTACTTTTTTAACGGAGTATACTTCTATTTTTTTAAGTTTAATGACGACCATGATATTTTTATCAAGGTTTACGGATGACAAAGGAGTATACACGAGTCCACGTGATGGAAAGTGATGGCCCATAGACAACTTCATCTATCCTTGATTAAGAATCTCTGCGGACTAAAATAGATGGTAAAAAGGTCTTCGGTTCTCTTCACTCATCATTCGAAACACAGAAGCATTATGTTGCTATTTCATGCTGGTATACCGTGTTTCTCAAACCGACTTATTTGTGATGGGTACAAATATTGCCGCGTAGCTCTATTACCTATAATTTATTGTCTATTAAATGATACACAAATTAATAAGTCAGATATAATTACAAGCTGTTTAATTCCTTATCGATCACTTCCTATACACAGTGAATTAGGAATAAAAAAGAATAATTTTTGTTCAATATATATTACAAGTAACTATTATTGAAAATCTTTGTTTACTTTTACCACTGGTTCGGAAAAAACCTCTGTCCGGGAAAGAACCAGCAAGAAATCCAGCGGGACTTTTATTCAAAGTTACATTTTAAAACAAAATATAGGTTGTAGAAACTACTTACAAAACTTATATAAGAAACAGTTTGAAAGCGACCACTTCATTCCCGGGGGTTATTATCATTCATATATTCGTTTATATTATAATATAAATAATTTGACCGCCTCGTTGGTCTAGTGGTTGTAGTAGTGCGACTGCTAATCATGAGATCCTAGGTTCGAATCACGGATCGGGCCAAAAAAGTAATTATTGAGTTTTTCCGTCAAGAAATTCTCAGTAGTTGCGTAGTAGGGTAAGCATGTACCTTGGTCCTGCTCCTGATCTTTCTCTGGTCGTGTCGGTTTACCGTCCCATCGGATTTTGAGAATGAGGAAATAGAGAGTGCACCTGTGTTTGCGCATACACTTGGGCACTATAATCCTGTCCTGCGCCGATGGCTAGCCTCCGCTGAAACAGGCCGCTGTGACCAGAATTCGGTCTAGAGGACATTATATTATAATAACCTTTTTTATAGTATTTTTTTTGTAAAATATTTAAACTTAGTAATATTTTATTAAACAAAACCTTTACTAGGAATAAATTAAATATTTATCTTTTAAAATATTATTTAAATAACGTAATATCTTACTAGTAAATGTAGTTTTTTTTTTAAATTCTTTAGATTTTATTGCATAATTGTTTTTTTTTGTCTTTAATTAACAGGATCGGCCATGGGTGTTTGGTCACCTTCTACAACTACAGCGACGTCTTGGAAGAGAAAACTTTCCTCTGATAGAGCAGACCTACTACCACAATTACACCGACATGGTAAGTGCGTAGCTGTAACATTGCTGTAAGTCATTGTTAGGCGCTGAAAATATGAAATTACTTATTAAATGAAAGCGCAATCTGTTTCTTAAGTCTTTATTTTATTCAATAATTACAACTAATTTTTGTTAATTTACAGGTTTAACTTAAACATAAAAAAATATAACTTAAAATAAATAATACAAATAACGTTAGAATTTTTCTCATCGCGTAGACAGTCAACAATTTCAAAGTTTTTAGTTAGAAAAATCGGAAGGGTAACAAATAATAGAATTTTGCGAATAAATTCGTCATTCCAATAACCAAACAAACCAAATTCCCAGCGTCGACAAATATACAAAAATCATATTCATAGCCACATTGCATGCTGCCTGCGTTTCGTATTAAAAGTTTGTAATTGTGTTGAACAAATTGTTAGGATGCCCCAAGGCAATTCAGATCATATTTGCAAAACATCGATACACTACAAAGTTCGTTCAAACATCTGTTACTGTGCCGCCAGCAATACATAAAAATTAACCTACGAGGCGTGTTAGAATGAACATATCGGCTTAGTAACTCATGTTTGCTTCGATATCGTGAATTATTAGTAGAAAACAAAGGTAACATCGGAATTTTCAAATGTTGGTCGAGATATACAAATGTTTGTTACAAATAATGTTTAAATTGCATCGAGTCGGCGTCGTGAATCAAGTCATAGTACTGTTGAAGTGTGGTTTCTGCATACACCTCGTGAGAGCGGGAGCCCTGTAACATAAACCGTTTGATTGTACTGGACTTTCTATTGTTTAAAACTTCGATCAACAATACCAACTAGATGTCGGGTCGGCGCAAGAAATCATCTCAGTAAATAAGAGCGCACATGAGACGTGAGCTCTTGCACGTGAGAGTGTAGCTCGCAAGGCAGTAACGGGAAAAAGAACTTTATTTGTTATAACTTAAGGTTGATTTCACACTAAATGTTATTTAATTCATGTTTTTCATAGTTTATATTCATGCGGATTTTGTAAGTAACCCGTTATTTAGTTGGTATTGTTGATCGAAGGTTTAAAAGAAACGAAAGTCGAATAAAAGCTGAAAAATAACTGCTGCCCATGTACTGTTTGATTCCCTTTGGCGCCTCCTACTACATCTACGAGATGATATGGGGTAGTAGATCCTCTTACGTCGCAACTTTAAATTATTCGGATGTTCACGTTTTCATGAAAACTTGACCAGGAGGAAAGCATTAATAATATATAATAATTACCAGGAGTTTCAAGTTACTTGCAGGTATTCATGGGCATTGCGCAGATATCCACTTGGATATTATCATGTCATATCACTTACTATTAATAGGCAATTAAAGTGCTCATGATATAAAAGTTGTTGATGTTAAAATTGATAAGGTATCTTAACCACTTAAAAGAACGACAATTGAATTTTAAAAAAGTGTGGGATCTTAGCTGTTAGTTCAATATATATGTTAGTTAAATGATATCTATACAAATCAATAAATTTTTTGTATCTGTTTATAAAGTCAAAATAACAGGTTTTACCAAATTCATATGAAAGTATATTATACGGTACTTATAACAAAGAGCCGTGGTAGCTCAGTGGTTAACGCTCGCTGTAAATATAACAGAACGCGAGTAACCCGGGTTCGATCCCCGCCGGCACCAATGAAATTGTTAATTGCAATTTTAAGTGCTGATTTACCACGTGCTTGGCGGTGAAGGAAAAAATCGTGAGGAAACCATTTCTGAGGGATAAGAAAAAAAATTTTTCGAAGACATGTGAAGTTCGTCAACACGCATTTGGGCAGCGCGGCGGACACTTCCTTGCCCTAAACCCTCTCAGAAATGAGGGGAGGCCTGAGCCCAGCAGTGGGACGTATATAGGCTGTAACTTTACTTTTTTTTTACTTTTATAACATAAAATATTTATTTAAATTTTTGTCACTGTCTGTCTGTCTGTGCGTCTGTTTGTTCCAGCTAACCTTCAAAATGACTAGACTGATTTAAATTAAATTTAAATCAGTCTAGTCATTTTGAATTATCGGCATATTCACTGGCCGATAGCTGACATTTTAACTTAAGTAACTTAGGCTAATATTTATGAAAACGAATTAGGGTTCCGTGCAAAAATGAAACTAAAACCCATGAAATTCAATCGTATAGAATTCGATGCGGACGAAGTCGCGAGGAACAGCTAGTATAAAATATAGATATTTTTGGCTAGAATGAATAAACATGCTTCTCAACATTTAAAATCAGGATCTCAGTTAAACCTTGAGCAGTTTAAAATATAAACAGAACGTGGTTTATATATTATAGTCACCTGGTCCAACGGCAACGTCGTTCGCGATCGTGCAGACAGATTCCGTGCCTCTCAAAGCAGTCGTCGTAGTTCGTCACGCACGTGTTGGGTGATTTTGTGCGACGGCGTGTTACGTGCACCTGTAATAAATGTAGTTTTTGAACTCTTTTACAGGAATAACTATTTTATAGCATAAGGGTGACAAAACGAGCACACAGTCCACACAGTCCTGGTGGCAAGTGTATGCTGAGGACAGTGTATGCCCACAGACATCTACATTTATTCTCGACTACGAATCAAAATGCAGATGCATTGTCACCCGTGAGGACTAAGTTGGAATGCCTCGTACCCACTAAAAAGGGACCCCGATTCTCCACATTCGCCATACGAATCACAGCAGCGTTAAGCTGCTATTTTACGCTGGTATTCTGTGAGATCGTGGTCCTTCCCCGGTCAATCCGATCCATTCGTACTACAATAATATGGCTGCAGCGTGGCTCTACCTCGTTAAGCGATTTATCGATTAGCAAAAGATTCGTCGGTTTGTTCCCTTTACGTAATAGTTTTAACATTTTTTTAATTTGAATTTTCAACGTTTAGAGTTTAGATAGTATTGAAAGTAACGAGGACTGCAATATTTTATATCTTGACATCGTAGTTTCTTAAGTGTTTAATAATAATTTAATTCTAATCTAATTTATGTAAACAAAGCTAACGGTTTCTTGAAATCCGCTGTACTTAATTTTGGATATGACTTAATTTTAATCAAAGGATTCAAAACCCTTGATAACAACCAACTATTTCACAATATAAAAAACAGGAAATGTATCTTACTTTACTTTTACTAAAATTATGTTTTTAAATAAAACTAGTTTGTACGAATTTCATCGCGTATATTAACTATTTTATATTCCCGACGTTTTGACCATGGCTGCTATAGAGTGCTGGGAACGTCGGAAATATAAAAAAGTTAATATATGCGATGAAATCCGTAAAAACTAGTTTTATTTAAATGTGTGGTGTTCGCGTAAAAAAATTCTAAGTGTTGTAAGTATACTATTACATCCCAATAATAAAACTAACAAAACAACACCTATCAAAGAAGCTCAAAATCATCTTATTTTAGAAAATAAATTCAAAGTTGAAGTGTAATATTTTTTTTACTTTATTACTAAAAAGACGAACGCGGACCGGTCTTATGTTTTATAGAGTGTGTATGTAGCTTCGAATAATTCGATCGCATGGCGTACAATATAACGTCGCTAGGTTCTTAAAAAGATTTTCAACAAGAGAAAATCATATTATGTTGAGCGCTGGAAGGCAAAGTGTATCCATAAAAAATTTCAGGCCTTGTTATTTCAGGTAAGAAAATAATATAATTGGGTTGCGATCATGAAATGTTAGAAGAGAATATTTTATATATCTTCATTTTCGTTTCAGGATAATTGATTCATTGTGTTACATAATAAATTGAAAATGGAAACGTAGTAAGTAAAGTTTTAATTCAGTGTTTCTATTCTAATTAGTTATAGGAAAATCATAAAAGTGTTTGTAATAAAATATTACGACACAATGTTGGAAATACTGTTATATATCAATTTTATTATTGCCTTGAGTGGAAAAAATTCTAGTATATGCGAAGTAGACCGAAATAACGACGGTTTTATGTTCAACATACTTGAACACAAGAAAGTATTTGTATTTATAAGTGATTTAAGTTATGCAGCTAATCTTCACTACTACTTACTTTTTTAAAGTAGGTAATAAATATTGTATATTTCATTGTTATGTAAATAAATATAGGTAAACTCTACGTTAGAAGTTCCTACTGGTTCTTAATGTGTTGTGATTAATTTTCTGGAAATGATTTTCAGTTATGAAAGAAATCAAAGGTTTAAAAATTAATTAAGGCTTATCAATATTCTTTTAAATTAACAATTAAGTTTTACAACGATAATAACGATTCGTATAATTAATCTAAAATATAACATTAAAATTGTTTCTAACCCACCTTGCAAGTACAACCCTGTTTATATAATAGCCGGAAGCCTTTTCGCTGTCGCGGAGTCACATCCCGCCATTTGTTGATGTACCCGCATAGATGTATGTGTGCTTGTAGGTGCATAACTTGACCTGCAAATGTTGTATACTCTTCAGATATCAACTTTAATAATATATTCGCATAATATTATGTTTATGGCTTCCATTCTATATAAGTTTTAAGCTACATAAGCTGGTTGCTAATGGTTTGATCCCCGCCAACACCATTGCCATTCTTAACTGAAAACTAATTGCTTAATTATTACACGCTTAGCGGTAAAGCAATAAATACTTCAAGAGGAAACGGACGAATCAAAGGAGATTTTGAGGTTACGAGGAGGTCATCTGCTAATGCGCATTGGAGCAATGCGGCGCTCTCTAACGCCACGCGGCCACTTTTAATAATTGGCAGGCTGTTCCCGGGGGGTAAATAAGTTTTTCACTGGGAATTAACATTTTTTATAACCTGAAAATAAATGATGATGCAGCCTTAACTTGCTAGCCAATATCGACATCAGTATGGACGTGTGATATACAGGGCTAGAGGCTGTGCCGGCCCTTTACAGTTAATGAACGGCCAAAGTTGAGGCTAGACGAGATTTCATTTTCAATTTCGACTTCATCACCAATTTCGTGTTACGAGCATTGAGCGTTGTTGAAGAACTTTTAAATGCGTAACACAACTTACGTACAATTGGTAGGATGTATCTAAGGCAAGAGACATCGTAAAACAATTACGTAAATATGAAAAATCGCCGAATTACTGAAATTTCATAAAATAAATTGTAGTAAAGAAATTAAGGATTAAGTTTTATTATATTTTGTTACCTGTTATAACATAGGTCTCTCTTGGTTGTAGACTAACACCACATAATGATTCCTGAGGCGGTGTTAATATTCGTCCTGATTTTAGCGCTACAGCTGCTTTTGGGGTTGCCTGCAAATTGTAATTGTTTATGTTATGTTTATTATTATTCCGTATACAGGACACTGCTGACCAAGGGTATGTCCCACATCAGGAACATTGTGCCACCTGCAAAGCCTTGGCTTTGCAGAACTTGGCAAACTTTTGGCACTTTTGACGCTGCTACGCTTTACCCGCCTAGTCGTTTTATCTGGTATGTTTGGACGCTATACGTTCTATGTAACTTAACATAGTAGCTGGTACTTCGACATCCATGGTCATACCTTAATACACCATAGTTCAAGGGATTACTTTCGATATATGTTGACTATAGTGTATTTTGGAGCTGTGGTAGCTCAGATGATTAGCGCTATTAGATGATACGCGAGCAACTCGGTTTCGATCCCCACCGGCACCAATGAAATTGTTAATTGAAATTTTAAGTGCCGATTTAATACGTGCTGGATGGTAAAGGAAAACATGGTGGGGAAACCTGCATGTCTGAGAAATAAGAAAAAAAATGTTTGTGAAGTTAGCCAACACGCATTAGGGCAGCGCGGCGGATACTTTCTTGGCCTAAAAACCTGTCAGAAATAAGAGGAGACCGGTGCCTAGGAGTGGGAAGAATATAACTTTAATTTTATAATTTTATAGTGTAATTTGTAATTAATTTTATCTTCACAAACATGTTTAAATAATTTGTAAATTAAATATATTCTCATAGTTTCAGATAAGCAAGACGATATACGCACATTTAAGTATGAACAACAAGGGTTTTAATAAAATTAAAGCATATATAAATATAGGTTATAAAAGCAAGGGAATTAAAAAGAATTTGAAAGTTAAAATTCACGAACGCGACAGCAGCCGCAAAGTTAACTTGTTTAAAATTATCCTCGGTTCCTATAAATTATTACCAAATATTAAAATAATATTCAAAAGCACACAATGCTGAATTATGCAATACGGAATGTTGTCATGCTGCTTTCCCATACAAAGCTTGTTAAATTACCGGTAATATTATAACAAAGAATTGCTTACTTTGTAAACGTTTCGAATTTTCACTTTGTACGCGTCGTATGTGTCATTTCCTCTGAACAATTTTTGTACACGGCCAACGATCACTGAAACGATTATAAAATATTTATTATTGCATGTCATCGATTCCATATTTAATTATTATATATACAAATAAATAATTATTTATTTTTGGTACGTAATTTTGCTTTACTGCATTCACTAAACGTAAGTAATGACTTGCTTATCATATGTCCACAGATTTCAATCTTTTGGTATTGAAATAATTGAATGATAAACATTTCAATGAATATTGTTCATACAGGTAGTATAAGGTTTTAATATTGTTGTGTAATGTGTTGGGCTTACCGAAATCGCTTTTACAAAAGTGTGTCTGTGGATGTTCGGGTGCACAGGTGCAGGAGTCGGCGGCCCGCCACGTCGCTGCCACTAATGCCAGCGTCAACCACCTTGTCAGCATGCTCTCTCTAATGTTCTGAAAATATGAAACATTCTCAGGTTAGAAAGGAAACGTAATGGAATCCGAAATATTAAGTATAGGCACAGGTTAAATAAAATCACTACGTAAGTTTAGGGTTTACATATTTAAATCGATTGTGTTTTATTGCCAATCAACGCGAAACGATGATGAAACGCGTTATTCAAATATTTTTAATCATGATTAGGCTTTAGTGGGAGTGCGTATTTCTGAAGATGTAATTTTTAATTTAAACTTATCGTGAATTGTGCACCAAAATCGTTTAAAAAGACAATGTAACCTTTGAAATACAAACCAGTGACCCATCTCTGTAAACGATCCATTCTTTGCGAGTTCCGGAAATTGGATTATAGCAAGAGAAGTTGTAATTGCAACAAACTAATTTAATAACAAACTGAAGAGTACCAGAGGTAATTTCCGTGCTTAAGTATTTATATTTTATGGTAAAGTTTATGTAACAAAATGATTTCTTGCTTTTATGAATATTGCTTTATAACTTTAAACGTCGGAAATGTTAAAATGAATAAACTAAAAGCGATAAAATCAAAATAATTTTTTTAGTTTATACCCCATTTTATAAGTTAGCTACTGTACGTATTAGAGATTCTTTACGCTGACGACGAGTGCCTCTTGTCAGATAGAATGGTGCATCTCCAAAGTTACGTTGTCAACAATTTGGCCTGGTAATAAGCGCTTCCAAGACTCAAGTCCTTTAACAACTACCCAGGGGAGGAAAAGATGATCCAACAGCGCTAAATCTAGATGGAAAACCACTAGATGAGGTCGCTCACTTTAAATATCTTGGTGGCAATATTCGGCGTGACAGCATCTTGGCTTTGATAATACCATCTCGTATTGTTAATGTTGCTGCCAATTTCGGTCAACTCACTGATCGTGTCTGGAAGTCTCATGATCTTAAGCTGGAGTCGAAGATCTATAAGGCGCTTATCATTCCTGTCCTTTTATACGGCGCAGAGATCGTGGTGCCTTTACAAATCAGACGTAAAGAAACTCGACTCTTACCACTTAAGGTGTCTAAGAACTCTATTAAAGATCAAGTGGCAGGATGTTGTTCCTCTGAGGCTCTGCGTCGGTCTGGGATGCACGGTGTGTAAGCTCTTTAAATGCTACGTCAGCACAGGTAGTCGGGCATGTCTTTCGCATGGATGACCGACATTTATCAAGAGCTATTTTCTACTCAGAGACGGCGGAAGGTAGACGAATTCACGGTGGTCAGCATTTGTGCTATAAGGATGTTTTCAAAAGACACCTAAACACTTGCGCTATCGACCTCTCGTGTTGGGAGGAGCTTACTGCAGGAAGGTCATCTTGGGGTTCGACTATCTTTAAAAGTATAAAATAATTTAAAGAAAGCCGCCTAAAGACATTAGACGCAAAACGCCGTCTGCGCAAAGAGAGACCTAGGCCCTCCTACACATATACTTACAACTCAGCTGGACATCTCTACTGCCACGCAAGTCATATCAGAGCTCATCAGAGGAAAATATTCTACGAAAATACTATATATATATATATATATATATATATATATATATATATGTATATATGTATATATATATATATATATAGTATTTTCGTAGAAATATATGTAATAGCAAAAACTTTTTCGCTTTTTTATTTTAAAACCTATATAAAATACTTAAGTAAATGAGTTAATATAAACAAAAAATATTTTTATTTTAGCCTCATTTTCCAACTCTATTAAATTTATAGCTACTAACTTAAAAACTTCTACAGGTAAGAGAAGGAAACCATCGGAATTAAATGTTTAATAAAACAATGTCGCGGATTTAGGCCGTCCTAAGCATTAAAATTCTCATTTCAATCTATTGGAATTTTTAGTTACTGAACCAGCTTTAACTAATAAACCAGTATAGCATCCTTAATAGTATGATAATATTAATATACATTATTCAATTATTCAACCTAAAGGCCATATTGTTGTTCTAATTCGCATGCAAAATTTAAAAGCATAATACTGCATTTCTTTCTCGAGCACCACCTAACCTCGAGCAATAGCGTGCTCATGCAAAGTAATGAAATTTTTGTATCCAAAATTATAAGGTTTTTGTTTCCTTACATTTTACACTTGAAATCTGTACTTATATAAGGCTTCCACTTTACAATCATATCTTATATTTTAAGGCTTTTGATTATACGGTATCATTTTTATATTTAATTTCATATAATTTTTTTTTAATTTCGTATTTTTAATCCGGTAGTTTTATAAACAATGTAACAGATTATATAATTTTATTACCTTCCTATAAAACCTAGCACAAGACACTCCAGAGGTTACTAAGAAGAATCAATACGTTGCGTTTTAATCTTGAACTCGAACTGTTTGGGCTATAGAAGGTTATATAAGTTATTATATACGGACAGATAGGTATGCAATATAAGAACAGACAAAAACATTGGTGGCAATGGAGTAAAACTTAGAAAATTTACAGTATATTTGACGTCGAGCCAGAGTCTGGAATGACTCACTGCAATGCACGCTGCAATTTGTTCGTCGGTTAATATTAAATCCTCCAAACAAAATACAACCATTAAAAAGTATTCGATGTAATAACCAGTCCAATTAGAGCTCTCAATTCGATAATTTGGGTCTAATTTTCTTAATAAACATCGTTATCCTTTTGTTTTGGATCAACTTAAACGTTTGCCGACGTTTTTATTGTTAAGCGAACATTGTTGATAACTTTAATTTGGATCATTTGGTAGATTGTTCTGGATACTTGTATAATTCTTTCTCCTATAAGAGACCACTCTGTTTTGTATATTTAAAGAGATTTAGTTCAGAATAAAATATTTGAATGAAATTGTATTTTTTTCGGACTTTATAGTTTCATATACTTATTTTTTATACGCCGGGCGTTTTAGGAGGGGTAAGGAGGGGGTGAATTTACAGTATCCTGCAGTCTTGCAGTGGCATACTTCAATACCATCACGAATTGTATTTTTTGTCGCAGAAATCTTTGTTTTTTGCGAAGACTTGTGGTTTATCAAATCTGATGTACGTAACGACAATGGCGATTTAAAACATGTCCTTCGCAGAGCTTACGTCAGCTATATACAAGATTTCGTGAAAATTAGCATCATTATCTAAATTTTTAAGTATTCGCGTAAACATAAGAAGTCATTATTACGAGTAAAGAATTGAATTAAATATAGTAAAATATCAGGTTTTACTAATGGCACTGAAATATTACTAAACATACTTCCTTTATATAATTATATATTTAAAATATAGTCGCAACTCGAATAATTGTTACTGATATCATTATAAACTTTTACAATTAAGACTTTTTTCACAGTTCTCTGTTAAACTAATATCTTTTCCAAAAAAAAAAAATAGCTATAAATGCTGTGCATGTAACAAACATGTACATTGTACCTATAATGTCACCAGGAACAAGTTAAATTAAAATTCCAAAAAAAAAAAACGAAACAAATAGAGATGATGATTTTCAAACGGTTGAACAGATTTTCTTGGAACATCGCAAAGAACACTCTCGATTAAGACATTTTTTGTAGAATAAGGGTGACATACGAGCACACAGTTAGCCTGATGGTAAGTGGATGCTGAGACCCATAGACATCTACACTTATCCTCGATTAAGAATCAAAACGCAGATGCGTTGTCACCCCTGAGAACTAAGATGGAATGCCTCATTTCCATTAAAAAAGTCTCCGGATCTCTTTACTCGCCATACGAAACACAGCAGTATTAGGTTGCTATTTTACACTCGTATTCTATAAAAACGTGATCCATCCCCTGTAGCTGTAGCTACATTATGTTTGTAGCACGAACCGGACGGCCTTTTTTGCTCGAAGAGAGGCATTCCATCATAGTCCTCAGGTGTGACAACGAATCTGCGTTGTTATTCTTAATCGAGGATAAACGTAGATGTCTATGGGCCACAGCATAAACGTTCCATCAGGTGTACTGTGTGCTCGTTTGGCATCCTTATTCTATAAAAAACGAAAAAACATACATTTACTGACAGTAACAGAAAGCAGACGGCGTCATCCTTTTGTGAAACTCAGTTATTGCAGGGGCTTGCGAAGCGAAACAAATGTGTCAGTTGCCTCTCAGTCCAGCCATTCCTTTATAGACCTAACTTTAAAGAGTTTAAACTGTGGTGAACATTGGCTTAGTACTTGCTTGTAGTTAAATTTTGTTTCTGAGATTTTTAACATTATAACTAACGCTGAATAAACGATTCATTATTAGAATATCCTTTTGAGCCTGTAAATATTTTCCGGTGAATATAAACATACTCCAAATTAGGAATTTTGCCGTAATTGCGAGAATTGCTATTAAAAGTTGCAATCGCAACACTTTACCTCTCGTAATTTACCAGCAGCTCTTGCTTATCAATTTATAATAGATATAATAAGGGAATTCATGCCAACTCTTATTTATATCAGATGTCAAATACTCGACCTGGTGATCAGAAGCAACGTTAAACTGTAAGATGGTACTGCGATCTGAAGTCTACCTGAAAAACCATTGTACCACAGACCAAGCATGTGCTTCTTCCTATGGGAAAGTACTGTTTTCAGCAGTAAACTTTTAACGAGTTGGTAACCCTAGGTGACGGCAATTATACTTTTAAATTTGTCTAAAATGCCATAGGATTTTATCAATTTCGATTTACTGGCTTTAATTACAATTACGGAAGGAGAGAAATGCGTTTGTTTTTCATACATTTACGTTTATTATTTGTAACTTTATCTTTTTGTATAGAAAATAGTTATCCACGTTATTATCATGTATTTACTTAACCCACTTACACAACTTGGGATGGTATTAACCAATATGCTGTCATCTTTTGAAATTAATTAAATTCACACGGGAAACAGTCATTTTCTATCGCAGACACGGAGTACTGCGGGAATATATTACAGATAATTTATTACTGTGCTAGAGAATGTACGACCATAGGATGACAGTTGTGACCTACATA